AGAAATATTAATTAGAGTGGTTAAGTCGTTTCCACAATATTATATCCTAAGCAGATTCTAGAGCTGGACTGGACTGTGAACCTAGAGCCTGACACTGACTACAGTGAATATACCCTGGTATGCTTCTACAGTAAAATTACTTTCCTGCTTCCAGTTGAATTGTAATCTTCTGTGAGTGACATTGACTTCAGAAAACCACTCTATGAACTCATTAAGTATAGTTCTCAGAAATTTAACTGCTTTCCTAACATTGACTAGAATTTCTGTTTTTTACAAATATCAGAGGGTTCTCTACTACACCTAGAATTCTCCCTCATGGCAGATGAATTATTTTAATTATATATTAAACTCTAAAGGATAAGGTTTTTGGAGTTCTAAAAGATTTCTAATAGGAAATGGACCCAATTTTTTTCCAGATGATTTACAATATTTTAATGACATTGTTCCAAAAACATTCTTGATTTCCTTTATCTATATGGGCTATATTTCATTGTTTCTTAGAATTAATACTCCACTTTAAGACAAGAATGTTCTCCCAGAAAAATTGCAACTAAATAAGAAAAACAATACTTAGAAAATGTGTGAATTAGACGCCGATCTAAAATAGAAAGGGATGAATTTTAGTTGTTACTCATTGCGTTTCTAAAATGGGTTTAGAAGTCACTGTGCATCCCAAGCTCATACATATGAGATAATTGGTTATAATGTCATTACTCCAGGCACAAATTTTCAAAATCAAAAACAGTTTAGCAACAAAGAGGCACTTGAAAAGCTCATTTCTGTTCTGAGAGCCCTTACAGTTCATAGAATTGGTTCCTGCTGAGGGAACAGGTTGAGGTACCATTAGCTGACTCTGGGATCCTCCAGACTTGAGTTCCAGGGACCCCTAAAGTACCTACAAAACCCGTAATCTTACAAAAATTATAAGATATGTTTTTTGTCAGTGATGTGTTTTCATTTTTATATCTTCTACCTTGTATGCATGGGTTCTGAATATTTAGAAGGAGTCCACGAATCATTTCATGTGGCAATTGGAGGCTGAAGTCACTCGTGGTCTGATAACCCATGCATGTACCAAATGATCAGACCCATGCGCAGGAAGTACATAGAAATTGGTAAATGTGGCTAGGCAAGCAATTTCCTTCCTCTTTGAACGTCCTAAGAGTGGTTGAGATATTTCAGGGTGGGGGAGGGATCTAAACCACAAAAACCCTAAATGAATAGTCTCCTTAAGGGAATAACTGAAAACATTCTACACAGGAGGTTGTGTATAATACATATCCACATTTGAAGATGCAGTTTAATGGCTAACTTGAAAATACAAGCATCATTTCAGGTATTTATAAAAATACCTCTAAACTCTAAACACAGTTATGCAAATTAGATGTGCATATTCAAAGTGAGAACATCAATCTTTCTCTTCTTAATTTCTACTCGTTCCCTTAATATGGATTTAATTTTGGCCTCAGATATTTGTGCAGACCGAGTAGATCTTTAGGCTTTCCAAAAGCAGGGCAATCAAATCCTTTAGGGCCAGTGCTTGCCAGTTGCAGTGAGTCACAGCTGGAATGTCCTGTGGTTAACATTTTGCTCTGAAAACAGAATCATAGGGCTCCAACTGGTTACCATGGTAACCAGTGTTTGTGTACTTTTTGAAAAATGAGTGTTCCTGTTTTGTGTGGTAAATTTACGCGGGGATGAATTATAGAGGCGACGTTAGCCATCTGTGTGAATACAAACAAAAAAAAAACACCCTGATTTAATTAAGTGTAAACTTGAGAAGGACATAAAATTGGGGGTTTGGGTTTTTTTTTTGTTTTTTGTACAGAGGTATTGTTCTATACTAATCAACTCATTAATTTATTTGACATTATATTTAAGCATTTTAGTCCATATCTAGTTGATGTTTATTTTTATGCATCATTCTCTCCTTTCCAAAGGCAAAAGGAAATCTAATTGTCATGCATCAGCGCTCCCCCCAAACCCACTCCCTTTGCCCCTGCTCTCCATCCCATTCACAATGTGTTATTTAAGAACCACTGCGATTCAGGGGCTGTCTCCTTCAATGAGGTAATCCCATCCGGAAGGAAGGAAAAAAAAAAAATCCCTTCCAAGTCATGTGAAAATGTCAGGTTTTTAACCTTGCTGAGCTGAAAAGCAAAAATACTCTACTTACTTATGACCTTGAATAGAATCTAAAATATGGTTCCTCCAAATGTCACTAGCTAGTATTTCAAAAGACCCATTAAGCTTAGCGCGACGATGGTTATAAGGAAATCTTACCTTATGCTTTGTTGGGTAAAAATGAAATAATGAAAGGTTTAGTCACCGAACAACAATCCAGAGTTAAGAATGAGCTTTTTGGAGTGGAAAACAGTCGAGTGTTTTCTTGTTTATTATGCCTCTGCTTGGGAACAGTACGTTTATTTTGGTATTAATTAGTTTAGAATTGGAGCTCATACACTGGATTTAATAAAAGTGAAGCTGAGAAAAATACCCTCCAGTGAAGCAGTAATTCAGCAGTAAACAGATTGCAACATGGGCCTCCTCCCCCACATCCACCTCTTACATTAGACGGTGGGGCCTGAGGTCTGAGGCCAGGGGCTTTTGTTGTCATTCCCCCTTCTTTTTTATGTTGCTTTATTCTCTCTCTCATTCTCGCTCCCTCATTTTGGCTTCTGTCAAATATCTAGAATATTAGAAACTTGATTATAAATATACACATTTGAAGCAGCAGTATTCAAAAAAATAAAAAGGAAGCTGAAGTGATAAGCCTAGAATAGTAAATCTCATCCTTATTTATTTGCTTAAAATGCTTAGGCTTAGTACTTAAGAGCGAGTGATGTAATGGGCTTCCGAGTTTCTCTTTTGAATCTCTGCTGACCGTCCTGCCAAATCTCACAGGCATGTATGTCTATCGAACAGTTTTGAGAACTCTGAACGAGACAGGCCAGGATTTATAAACCTGATATTTAGTACGACCATGAACAGGTCCTGCCTGGTCCCCCTTCACAGAATGGCCACACAGGAGCCACAGCCTTTGCTGCCTAAAAGGAACATGCTGACATTTAGGACTGTAAGAACCTGATATGTATCGAATTCTGCAAGTTTCAAGCAATAGTGCAGATGAAAAATCCGATTAAAATTAATGCGGTTGTGGGGAAATCATTTTGTTTATTCTCTGGGGGGTGTATTGGGATCTGCCATGCGCTGGGCAGTGAGGGGAATTCAGAGGTGATCTGGGGTCTAAGAAAACTCATAGCCTGTATGGGAGATCAGACATCCATGCCTATAATAGAAGGTAAGGAAATGTGACCATTCGCACATAGAAGCACAAATAAAGAGCTAAAGGGTTTCAAAGGAAACCTTATGATAATTGGCTGCTCTAGGGATGAGGGAAGGTGCCATGGAGGTGCTTTGTAGAATTTGATTATAAAAGTTTTTCATGCTCAAATCAGTATGTTTCCAGCAGTATTTCATATCTTAACATTTTTTTTTATTTCATAACATTTTAGTAAATAAAAATAATTTGGTCAATTTGGAATTTATTGAATCTAGATTATACATTTTCCCACGGACACATGCAAACACATACACACACATACGCTTGCCTATGTGGACTCTGCAAGAGAATACTCAAGTAACCATGCGTCTCTGATCAGATACCTTCCAGTTTGTTGTCATGGTCAGTTCATACCGAGGGTAACTGGAACAAAATGTTTTAAGTGGACCTTAGGGGATTAAAAGAAAATATAATGGGCTGAGTCATGAGGAAGCCAATCTTTCTGGGTTATCTTTCCTGCTTGAAGAGATATGGCTGAGAAGTTTATTTATTTATTGTTTTAGTTTAGGGATGTGTGTCCGATGAAATCATTAAATGAAGCTGGTAAAGGATGAACAACAGGATGTATAAAACCCTTAGTGGAAAAATAGGCAGAGACCTCAGCAGAAAAGTTCTGAGAGAAGAAATGTAAATGGCCAATAAACATGAAAAAACGTCAACCCCAAAGTAACACAAATTAAGATAATTATAAAAACACACACAAATTTTCACTGTCAGAACCAGTTTTAAAAATTAATAGTCATAGTTGCTAAAGTTCCATTGTACAAAATATTTCTGTAAACTGCCAGTGGGAGAATAAATTGGTATAAACTTTCTGGTGAGAAAATAAATAATATACATGAAATGCCAAAAAAGATTATACTCTTTGATTCATTTCCCTTATAGGAATCTTTTCCTGGGAAAAATTTAAAATAACAAACAAATATTTGAGTTGGCCAAAAAAATTTGAAAATATCCTAAATGAACAACAGAAATGTAATGTAAATTGTGTGTTAGTAGCATCTTATGCCACCATTAAAAATGTTTAAGTGGACTATTTAGTGATGCACTTAGGATAAAAACGGGGAATGCAATGAAATGTGTAGCCCAAACTTACACCCATACACCTACACACATATGTACATACACATATACAAATGAAAACGTGTTGGCAAGAAACAATTCTGGTGTTAACAAAGCATTAATAGTGATTATCTCCAGTGGGATTAATTTTTGTATTTTTGTTTTTCACAGCTTTCTAAAATGTGTTTTTCTATCATTAGTATTTTTTTTAAATTTATATCTTATAATGCTGCTATTTATTGAGCATCTCTTATCCATATATGAACATATAAGAACATCTGAACACACCTCATTCGGCCTACTATTTCCTTATTCTGGGCCTAGACTATACTTTGGAGGAAATTTGCTAGGCTGACATAACACCAAACAGTATCTTGATTTCCAGATTATTGGGTTTAGGAATTATTCCTAAAAAAGTACATAATGTTCTACTTTGAATTCTTAGATTAAATGTCCTGTACTCAACCCACCCCAGTAGATGTAACCTTAACTTTTGAGCCAAGGATCAGCTTTGTTGCATGAGTAGACCTTACTTTTGCCACCTGACAGACCATTCAAAGTTGTTTTTTATTGGAAGGCTTCTCTTTGATTTCAGCTCTATGACGGCACACGGCGGATAGGACGTTACTGTGGAGCAGGCATGCCGCCCTCCGGGAGCACCACGGGCCCCATTCTTCAAGTGCTATTCTATACCGATGGGGCCGGGCACCATGAGAAAGGATTCCAGATGCAGTGGTTCATTCACGGTAAGCCCCGCGCCGAGCCCAGTCACGTTGGGTGGTTGCTATTAGACCAAGAATTGCCTCCTTCCCAATTCTGTGTTTGGAAACAGTGCCATCAACAAACAACGGAAGGTGGGTAGTAATCTGCTGGTAGGTCTTTGAATGTTTACTCAGACATCGGCAGCTCTCAGAGAACGAAGCCTTGTTAGGGAGTCAGAGGAAGTGATGTCAAAGTGGACAAGTAACTGCTTAAGCAGATGCAGTGATAAGCTACCCAAGTGAGAGGAGGGAGCAGAATGAAGCTTCTAGGGGTGAAGGCCTGTACTGGGGTGTGGCAAGCACATTGCCAGGTTGGATGGGGGCCTCTCAGGAGGAGTGCAATAGAATAAGATTTAAGGCTCACCCTGCCATTAAGGAGAGAAGGAATGACAGGGATGGAAGGGAAACAATGAGAGTCAATCAGAGAGAGAAAGCGAAGGGCAGGGATTGGGCTGAGAGGGACACAGGAGCAGAAATCTTAAGCTAGTGATGCTGTAAGCCAGGGCCACATTTTGTACCCACACACGTAAAGGCACATCAGTGCCCACCTGTGGTTCAGCAAGTAGGTAGGATAGTCGTTTCTCTCAAGATGAAAATTCATTTTTAACAGGACTTCTAAAACTTCCAGACTAACCTCCTATGGCCCAGTCTAAAGGGAGAGGGCCCCAGAACAGTGGTTCTCTGCATATGCTCCCCCAAAAGCAGCATCAGCGTCCCCTAGAACTTGTTAGAAATGCAATTCTCGGAGCCCCATCCCAAACCTACAGAATCACAGACTCGGAAGGGAGGCCTAATAATCTGTGTCTTAACTGGTCTCCCTGGTGGTTCAAGTTTGAGAACCACTCTTCTAAAGTGATCCAGACCTGAAAAACAGAGTCCTTGTGAATATTATAGTAGAAGTTCCCACCCACGGTCTTAGGGCTCACTGGTCTCTTTCAATCCATTTGAAAGAGAAGGAGTTGCGATGTCACACCTGGAGCCACACACAGACCTCTAAGCTGTGGCCCCACTGTTGCAATCATTGGTGAGCACAAGGTGAGGGCATGAATGTGTGTCATGGTTGACACTTGAAGGTTGTTAACATCACAGTACGTTTATTGTATGAATCTCAGTGCTATACATAGCTGAATAGCCCTATTATGTATTTAAGAATGTTAGATGTTCTGAGGTTATGAACTAGAGACCAAGTGTATTCCTGTTAAAATATAAGAATGGGGTTTTCAGTGTTTAAAACTATTCAGTGGTTATCCACAGAGCTACTTATAGCTTGAAACACAGATTATGAGTTGTAAATGAGCTATGATAATTAAGCTTGTGGAAGTTCTCAACTGTCCTCTTCATCAAGTAGGTGGATTTGACCTCGGACTGTCAATTTATTGATCTAGTAAATGAAGGGACTGGATTCGTTCAGCTCAGCAATACAGTCTATCTCTAGTATTCTGTGATTCAGAAATGCCGTGAGTCTAAGGAAACTGCAGACAATATGAAAAGACCAAGAAGAAGTGGGAAAATCTTGGGAAATGACCCAGATTTTCAAGGGCCAGGCGTATTTCCCAGAGCAGTGTTTCTTAGACTTTCACGTGCCTATGAATTGCTGGGGATCTTGTTATAATGCAGACTGTGATACAGAGGGGCTGAGGGAGGGCCCATGAATCTGTATTTCTACAAAGCTCGCAGATAATGCTGATGGTGCTACTCTGTAGACAACACTTTAATTATTTTCTGTCAGTTCCATTTGAAATCTGTCTTCATTTGGTGGAATCAAAGACACCCTCTGTCTATTCTCTTTTCCTATTACTATTTCAAAACTTTCCCCCAATTGCTGAAAACTTGCTAAGCTTGGAACCAGAGTTATGCAACAACATTTTGCCAGCTAAGACCAGAATTGGGGAAAAAAAAAAAATTTAACTCCGTGATGCCCACTACATATAAATTATACATGGGAAGAACCTTCTGGAAGGGGATGATAAGTGTTCTAGATCTGTGCAAAATTAACTATCATATACTATAGTTATGCAGTGCCACAAGAATGCAGAGCTTATACTCTGTGTCTGAATTAGGTCTTTAACTTGAGATGATAGCCTGAGAAGAGAGGCCGACGAAATAGACGAGAGTCAGCGAAGAGGTTCCGGTAGGACAGGTTCCCCTACTTCTTACTCACTGGAGGTAGGCTGAAGACATAAACCTGATTTCTCAGTTATCCCTAGTTCGTTGCACACATATGAAGTAACCATTTTGGGCCAGGTACTGTGCAAGGGCTGGGGACCCTGTGTGTGATTCCTGCCTGCAGGCCTCGTACCTACTGTCATAGAGCTTACAGGTGATTGGGAGAAGAGGCCGTCAAGCCAAAAGCACACAAATAAATATAAATAAGTGCCACGGAACACATAAAAGGAGATTTGAGCTGGACAGGAGGTCGGAGAAGTCCTGCATGAAAATGAGCCCTTTAAAATCAAAGAATATGCAGGCGTTATGTAGACCAATAGGGGAAGGAAAAGGATTCCAAGTAGACAAAGTCCCTGTGGAGGGAGCATGCGGGGTGAAGGAGCCAAAAATCAGGCGTGGCAGAGTGGCTGGAGGTCAGAGTCGGGGGAGCAGTGCTGAGCTAAGTGGCATCAGGTCACATACAGTTAGGGACTTGGGCAGGGTGGTGGGGGGGGCGGGCACACTTCCTCTTACCTGTAAGTCCGTCAGATTTCACAGAAATGAATTTTGAGTAGGATCTTGAAGAAGCGAAGCAACATGGCATCTTGTGAGATTCAGAATATAAAATCAAATACAAATGAAAAAATACAAAACAAACTCATACAAAATAAATGTAAAACTTAGTCTCAATTTTCAAATGTAACAGTAATATTCTTGAATGTGTGTTTGTGTGCGCCCACAAATGTGTGCACGTGTACGTAATTCCAAAGGATGTCTCTGCACAGCCTCCCCCAGCCTCTATCTCAGAATCAGGTTCAAGGGCCAAGGCCCAGGACACCCACCTGACACTTCATTTCCCGAGCATTGCTGCTGAGGAAGCATCCACTTCATTTGCTCTGTCAATTCCTTCATAAACCCATTTACAAAATGTGTCTCTTTGTTGACTGCACAAATCTTCTTTTTTCTTTGAGAAAATGCATCTACAATCGGGCTTTCTTTGTGGGCCCGTTTTTAAAGCGGAACTGCAGACATGAGATTAAACCACACTGCCCTCTGCCTTTATGCCGCCCATCAAAGACAGACCCACCCTGGAAAGAAAGAAATGGCCGCTGCTGCCCTGCCTGGCTAAACTGTTCCCAGTATTGAGTGCTGACTGCATTGTCCAGAGGCTGAATTCAGCCTCGGGGGCCTCCGTCTGGGTTGCTGAAGGGCATATAGAACTTTCTGCGGGAGCTGTGTGAATAGGGGCCTCCTAGCCAGCTGTGCACACCCCTCGCCTCTTACTCTACCCTCTCCCCGAGGCCCACCTTCCCTGGGTAATGGAATCCAGCAGACAAACAAGGTCAAGGAGCTTTGTGCGCCAAAGTGACATTTGCAAAGGGAGAGAACCCCCTCAGCTGGGAATTGCAGGGGAAGGGCTAAGTGGCCTGTGATCAGGAGGTGATGTCATCCTGGATTTTCACAAAGGAAAGTGCTGCCTTTTCTTTGGGGAGATAGATGACATCAGCCTCTCGGATGGGGGCTGGTTTCATTGTATCTTCATTTTAGCTGTGAATGAGATTTCTTAAGCCTGAAGGTTTTCAGAAATTGGCTCAGGAGAATATTTAAAACAATTTTTATCAAGGCCTTCCATGGCTGACTGGGTTTGAGCATAAGCCAGTGCCTTCTCAACTATCTCGGGGCATGCGACGCTGTTGCAAATGGCTTTTAGAAACTATATTTTTAGAGCCCTGGCAAAGAACCTCCGTGAGGTCAGCAATATTTCTCTTAAACCTTCCCTCTGATTCTCTTTCCCTCACTTGGACTTTTCAATAGTCTTTGTTTGTTGTTGGCCTTTCAGGGGAAATCCTTCTAATTTGTAATTTCTATTCCTTTTGAGACCTATAGTGTGTGTGCTGGGGTTTCTGGGAGGTTTACCCTTTGAGGACAAAGGTTTTGTCTTTTGTAATTCATGATCCTTTTGCCTTCTATGTGAACGCTGGGTAATCACCCTTAGGGTGTGAGTGAGGGTGAATTAACTGGGCTCTATGAGGAGATCTCCCGGGCCTACCTTCCAAAGAACAGACAGTTTGCACTGTGCATCACGTCTTAGTAATTTACACATAGCCTCTGTAAGCAGGTGTTTACTGAGCACATGTTTTCCGTTCAGTCGTTTGTCCAACCAGCACATATTGATTCACTAACCAGGTTCTGGGCATGGTGTTTAGAATACAGAGTTTATTAGTTTGCTCACGCAGCCATAACAAAATACCTCAGACTGGGTGGCTAAATTTACTTCTCTCTATTGTGGAGGCTGGAAGGCTGAGATGAAGGTGTCGCAGGTTTGGTTTCTCCAGAGGCCTCACTGGTTGGCTTGCCGCTGGTGGCTTTCTCGCGGTGTCCTCACAGGGCCTTTTCTGTGTGAGTGTGTATCCCAGGGTCTCTTCCTGTGTCCAGATCTCATCTTCATATAAGGACACCAATCAGATTGACAGGGGGGCCTCATTTTGACTTAATCACCTCTATAATAGCCCTATGTCTAAATAGTGACAGTCTGAGGTACTGGGGGTTAGTTAGGGTTTCAAGAGGTCCTTCAGGCAGCTGAATACTGGAGCTGAGTTTTTTTTGTTTTTGTTTTTAGGTTTATTTTTTTTTTAGTTGAAGATTTTATTGAGGAATTGGGGAAGGGGAACAGTGTTGGGGAATTGGGGAAGGGGAACAGCCAAGTTGTTGTCCTTCAATCTTAGTTGTGGAGGGCACAGCTAGCTCAGCTCCAAGTCCAGTCGCCATCTGGCCGCCCATCAGTAGCTCGTGGCCATCAGCTCAAGGTGCTGTGTTCAATCTTAGTTGCGGGTGGGCAT